ATATAAATTGGGTGGGACGTTGCCCTGTGACCTAGCCGCGTTTGTTAGGAGCGAAGAAATAATGCTTCTTATATTTTATAGCGTCGGGTCAAGGAAGATTTTTTTAAATTTTGCCATGTTATCTAAATCTCAAATTTATATCTACAAAACAAAAATCTGTAAAATCAGACGATTTTTTTACTGTATTGCTTCATATTTTAGTTAAAAAAACACATATATATGTAACATTTTTATTATGAATCTATATTATTACATTATTATATTATATTATATATTATTAGAAAACATTTTACTACTAACACTTAATCTTATTCCTAAATAAACTAAAAATGTATAATAAATAATAAATGTATAATAATAATAAATTTCTTTCGTCATTTCATCAAATAACGAATACCCGAATTTTGTTAGGGTAGCAAGCCTGAAAAGTAAGAAAAATCCAAATTTTGTGCGCTGGCTTCGAAACGAAATCGTACGCACACAAACACCCGTGTATGTGAATGTGTGACACGCATACATACAAAGATCAACCGAAGCGCAGGCCAACCTTCTTCATTGCGCTCCGTTTAGAGACTGAGAAACAGAAAAAATTTAATGAGAGAATGAGCGTAAGATGAACGAACGATCAGCGTAAGAGAGCGTAAGAAATCCGCTCTGGGGCCTGCTGGGGCCTGTCGCAAGAAATTTTTGCGTCCATTTTCGTTGTATAAAATGGGTTGTCTATATGCTGTATGGTTAGTGATTATATGCACTACTCACCAAAATTAGTTATTTGGCCACTTAAATTTTTTTTAAACTTTCACTTTAACTCAACAAACGCGTGTGATTTATGTGCAACTTGAACATCAAATGCAAAGAGAAGGGGAGAGGCAAGACGAAACCGAAAATTGACAACCGAAAATTCTGGCGCGTGCCAGGGTATAGTCGACCAACGCAATGCCTTGAAATTAGAATCGCACAAGGCAAATAATCAAACATGAACATTTTGGCTTTGCCTACATTTCAATATATCATATGATTAGATACGAAAAATTATTTAAATATAATCTTAAATATATATAAATATTTGAACATATTTTAAAAAGGGTATTCTGACGTCGCTTCCATTCATTTGGTTTTCGACACAGATTTTCTTCTCTCCCTTCCCTCCATCTACATCTCTCTAATTGTCTCTCTGTCGCGTGCCGCTTCTTCGAAAATATGACGTAGAACAATCATCGTCCAAAACCGAAAGCAGGTAGAAGTTTCGTTTCCCCTTTCGTTTCGGACTTGAGTAAACGACGCCCATGCAATTTGTTTTTGTTTTTCGAACATGTCGCCAGGAAAAGTCGGGGAAGAAATTTTGGTACTGAAGGGTTCAAAGCGAGACACAAAATTTTAATTTTTCTTACTTTTCAGGCTTGCTACCCTAACAAAATTCAGGTATTCATTATTGAGTGAAATGACGAAATAAATTATATTATTGGTAATATTATATTTTTTTAATATTTTAGCATACATTTAACATTTATTTAGAAATAAGATTAAGTTTTAGCAGTAAAATGTTTTGTATATGTATATTTTCACGAATAATTTAAAATCAATATACTGAGATAGTAAGAGGGTATATTTCAGTCGACATCACTTAAAACGCCGATTGCTTTAAATTTTTGTTGTTCTGCATGTGAATTTTGTTTGCATACCCTACCGATGGATGATTTTTAGGGGACCGGACAGCAAAAAAATATATAAAAAAATTTTTTTTTTTAGGGAAACTGGGTATAATTTTTTTTTTCATTTAATATTTAAAATAAAAACAAAAAATTCCATTTCTATATTTTTAATTGATGTTTACAACAAATTGTAGCAAAGAAACGTTTTGAAATATGTTGGTATCCTTTTTTGAATTTTTATTTTTAAAAATACATTAAAGTTGACTTATTAAGAAAATAACTACACTAACATAACTACACAAAAACTAAATTTAAAAAAATTCATAAAAACAAACTGAAAAGAGTCAAAGTAAAGATTTGTGTCTGCTCACTCCCCAAAAAATCATGCATCGGTAGGCTATGCAAGCACAATTCACTTTTGCCGAAACTAAAGTCACCATGAATTCGTAAAGTACCGATTTTTTCAGAATCAAATTTAAAAATCTCTTGACACGGTAAAGAAAACTACAAATTTAAACCTACTCTTACACTGCACGTGTCGTCACTAATAACGGACGTAATGTCATTACGTATGACAATACGTACTGTCGTAATAATTTTATCTTGCACGTGTATAAAATACGATTAGTTTTTAATGTGTAGCTTTATAGACCTTTATTGCTTTTTTTCTTCACATAAATGGATATCGGATATTTGGTCCGATTGGATAGTTGGTATATCGGTCCTTAAAAGTATATATATTCTTGATTAGGATCACCTCCTCAATTGATATGACGGACATCTGTCCATTTGTCTGTCTGTTTCTACGCGAACTAGTCATGCAGTTTTAAAGATATCGACTTGCAACATTTCACACACCCTTTTTATACCCTTTCAGAGTGTATTATAATTTTGTTCAAAAGTGTGCAACGCAGTGAAGGAGACATCTCCGACCCTATAAAGTATATATATTCTTGATCAGGATCACCTCCTGAGTTTAGTCTCTCAGTTTTAAAGCTATCGTCTTGAAACTTTGCACACACCCTTCTTTCCCTTGCACGCAGTATATAAGTCGGAACGGCCGAGATTGGCCGACGATATCCATATAACTGATTGATCGGAAATGCTGTAACTTTGTTGTTTTTTGAGTAAGAGAGTTCGCATATTTCATGAGTGATTTTTTTTTTGGCAAAATAATACGGCATGCCAAATTTTATAAGGATCGGCCGACTATATCATATAGCTGCCATATAACTGATTGATCCGATATCTTCTTTCTTTAAAAACTTGAAAGTTGGGTCATTTTTGATTGTTAAGTTATATGGCAGCTATAGGATATAGTCGGCAGATCCTTATAAAATTTGGTAGGTCATATTATTTTGTAGAGAAATAGAAAATCCGAACTCTCTAACTCTAAAAACACAAAAGTTATAGCATTTCCGATCCATAAGTTATATGGCAGTTAATAGAAAGAGTAAGCCGTAACGGACAAAGATGACTTCCTTGAGAGACTCCAGATGTAACACGCATCAGGGGAGAATGAACATTTTTAAATAAGACTCTTTGTGTTCTGCCATCTAAGCTGAAAATTCACGTTAGGAATTCCCAAATTCCCTATTTTCCAAATCCCAAAAGATTCAGTTAACTCAACAGGAGTGAGTGATTGACAGAACCAAATGCTTTACTGAAGTCCATGTAAATAATATCAGTTTGAAATCCCTTTCGAAATCCATCTATGACATAGAATGTCAACTTCAGTTAATTAGTGGTGGCTTAATGAAGCCATGCTAACATGAAGAAATGATCAAAGGGCAAAGGTGTTTACAAAGTTCGCTTAGTGTTTACAAAGTTATAAAACTAATTTTGATCCTGAGTAAATGGAATCCGGCAGCGGCAAATATAATTCCTGTAACATTCAGCGTTATGCATGTTCAAATTTGACCGAGCTAGTAGATATCTGGAAAAATTTATAATTCTGCAGGTATTTTTATATATAAGTAAAAGCTTCTTTTCAGTATTGCCTGTTTTAAAACCAAGGAGGTTTTGTAGAAGCGGACGTATATATTTATTGCACACATGAGTCGAAAATTGTATTTAACGCAGTGGGAGGCAAACTCTCATTTTACAAAGCACGCGAGTATAGGGTAGGAAATTCTGACGCAGCGCTGCCGGCACACTGACAGTGTAAGCACTCTCAAATTTTTTCAGAAGCTCTCTCATTTGCTCTCATTTTAATTCATTTGACAGCCCAAACTAAAAATCAAATTTTTTCCACTTCGAAAAATTTTCTCAGAAATTGGGTTGGAAAAAGTTTTCTTCATGGAGAATATAGATAGGGAAGCGTAGTTGAATTCTCTGCTCTCATTGTTTTTCTCTGCTACGCACACACTCAAATTTTAAAAATGTGCTAGTTTTGCCCACCACTGATCTATAATTTCTAAAAGTACAGTTAATGAGAAATCTTTACTTTACTTTAATAATAAAAACAAGAAAGAAAAGCTAACTTCGGGCGTAGCCGAACTTGATATACCCTTGCAGTTAAAAGCGGACATATATCGCAAACATCGGATATAGTTGGGCGATCCTTATGAGAATATCATAATAAACTTAATTAATTACAATCTTCAAAAAAACCAAAGTTGGTATTTTTACCAATTACCATTTCCGATCGTTCAGTTATATGGCAGCTATAGGATATAGTCGGCCGATCGTTAGGTAGGTCCGATTAGCTGACCAAAAATATAATCTGTACTAAATTCCAGCTTTCTATCTTCAAAAACATGAAAGTTATACCATTTCCGATCAATCAGTTATATGGCAGCTATAGGATATAGTCGGCCGATCCCTGCCGTTCCGACTTATATACTGCGTGCAAAGGAAAGAAGGGTGTGTGCGAGGTTTCAAGTCGATAGCTTTAAAACTGAGAGACTAGTTCGCGTAGAAACAGACAGACAGACGGACAGACGGACATGCTCATATCAACTCAGGAGGTGATCCTGATCAAGAATATATATACTTTATAGGGTCGGAGATACCTCCTTCACTGCGTTGCGCACTTTTGGACAAAATTATAATACAACCCTCTGCAAGGGTATAAAAACCGTTAATATAAATATAGTTCATCGACGGGTAATCCCGTTTTTTAAGACTTTTTATAATTTTTTCGCGAGCAAAAATAAATACAGAATGATAACTTTCTCTTAATGATTTGCAATGCTGACCCTAAACTCCTAAGTTTAAAGCAAAAAACTTGACGTGATGACCGAACGAAGCTTTGTTAAGGAGACTAAGATCCAAACCAAAAACGTTAATTGAGAAATAAGTTGGCGGTTGGTTAGCAGGTGGAATTCAATTGAATTTAATACTTACGCAGCGCCTGTTGATAAATCCCTTTTAATTTGGTTTATATCACGAGTGCGATGAGTTTTAGTAGGTGGTACATACAAAGAGATATCATTGGTTGCGCTATGAACATTGCGATTAGAAGTCGCAGTCGCTGTGTCACTTTCTGCAGTGCAACTAGATTTATCAGCAATCATATCGTTTGAGACTGCTCCAAGAATTGTCGATAGTGGTGCAATCGATGCTACAAATTCATTTGTGCCTTGGCTGTGGATATCCCGATTTTCACTTTTGGTACACCCTAAACCACTGTTTGAGCAGTCCGAAACACTTTCATTGGAGCTTGATGTTGAAGCAGTCATTACAGAAGCATAATTTTTAGCTAACCTGTATGAGTAAAGGCTACTTTTGTTGGGAACGTGCTGCTTCGGATCAGAAACATCACTACCCAGAATATAATCTTTTCGTGGTTTTTTGGAAGCCGTGGTCATTCTTTTTTGATTTAATAAATTGGTTGGTGTCGAGTCAGAACTAGAAGTGCTTACAAAAAAGTGAGTACCGGAGGCAGACTCAGATCCCATTGATGCTGAAGTCCTTTCAAATTCTGAATGGCGCATATTATTTGAGCTGCTTGAAGATGCTACATGAAACCCGAGAGGCTTTTTTTCACTATTAGTGCCTTCATAAGAGGACAAAGCCACATTATCGGCACTTGAACTAGTAGCAGGACAATATAAGACTTTATCTTTTTGCGTCATTGTATTGGGGTTTATTGTGATTGCATGTTTGGGTTGTCCCAATTCATTTGTATTATGAAAAGTTGATAAATTACTTCCCGAATTATACCCATATTTAACAACATTTGGAATACTTTGCAAGCTTGATGAAATTGTGGGTTCAGTATAATCAGGTTTCATTATTACTCGATATATTTTTTTTTGAGGATACTTTGCACAACATCCTGTATCTCCTGCCAAAGATTTTTGGTAGTGCGAAGTCCTAGGCATTCGCTTTGGTGGGCTATGTCTACCAGTATGGTTAATGCTAAGGGCACTGGTGGTTTCTAAAAAGGATTCTTTACTGTTGGGATTAATTTTAAAAATCCGATCATAGTTATCAATCAATATATTTATGACTATGTTGTTAAATTTTATATCCAATATAGCCGCAACCGATTCTTCCCGCGGTCGTAGTAAAGTTGGTCCAAACACCACTCCAAGATTGAAAACGGACATCTTGTTTTTTTCGTATTTCCGTGAAACTCTGAAAAAAACAGTCAAATTATTTTTTTTGGCAATAAATCAATTAAGGGCATTTCTAGGTATTTGTAGAAAATTTATTTATTTATTTGTAGAAAACAGGGATCGTAATAGTTACAATTTTAAAATATAAATTGCAAAAAAAGAGCTATTTTCCAATTTGTATTCAAACAAGAAAGGAAAGCTAATTTCGGGCGGAGCCGAAGTTGAGCCGAAGTACTCTTCCAGTTAAAAACTGATATATATCGCAAAAGTCGGATATAGTTGGCCAATCCCTATGAGAATATCATAATAAAACCATTTAAAATACCGAAGTTGGTATTTTTACTAAATATCAAATACGATTTCCGATCGATCGTTCCGAATATATCTTATAGCTGCCATATAACTGATTGATCGGAAATTATTTTTTCAAAATAATAGGAGATACCAAATGTCATAAGGATCGGCATACTATATCTGATTTTTACCTGCAAGAGTGGGCTCTGCCCGAAGTAAAAAAAACACGTTTACATGCTGGTTCGGTTGATCGAAAATATATATATTACATGCTGCGGTGGCCGAAAGTGTCAATGACAATCCGTCGACGTTAACTTGACACCGTGTTCAAGAGTTGGACATTTCGCGCTTTTCCCTGCAATGGATTTTAACCAAAGACTTTCATCTAAGGCCATATAAGATTCAGTTGTTTCAGTAGCTTACGCCGCATAACCATCCAATGCGTTGTCGGTCTTCGCGTCAGTGACGAAAGTTTTTACCGAAAAATAGTTTTTTCTGATGAGGCCCATATTCACCTCGGTGGTCATGTTAATAAGTGAAACTGTTGCATTTGGGGTTGAGAAAACCCACACGTCGTCTTAAAAAAGCCAATGCATCCACAACGAATGACTGTTTGGTGCAGTATGTGGTCGGGTGTCATCATTGGGCCGTTTTTTTTTTTTTAAAAGGATGAAGCCGCCGTTACCGTTAAGGGTGTCCGCTATCGCGGCATGTTGGAAGACTTTTTCTTTCCTTGAATGAAAAAGGAAAACATAGGCGACATATGGTTCCAGCAGCATGGTGCTACGTGCCACACAGCCTACGTCACAATCGATCTTTTGCGTGGTACGTTCGAAAATCGCTTAATCAGCCGAAACGGCGATGTCTACTGGCTGCCTCGCAGCTGTGATTTGACCCCGTTGGATTATGTTTTGTGGGGTGGCGTCATGTTTTAGTGTTACGCCAAACACCCAAGGACGATTGACGACATAAAGCACGGGATTGACGTGGCCATTAGGGCCATTGATGGACTTAGCATCGAAAAAGTGTTTAAAAATTGGGACGACCAAACGGGCTACTGTAAAGCCAGCTGAGGCAGCCATATGATCGAAACGGTTTTTCATACATAAGCCGCAAAGTTAAGGCTATCAATAAAAAAAAATTTTTTGAAAAATATATACTCGTTGTTTTTTTTTATAGCGATTTTAAAACGCAATTTTTTTTGGGGGCTACCCTGTAGAAGTTTGCAAATTTTTTTAGATTTGGTATTGTATAAAATTGATTATATTATGATATTGTCATAAGGATCGGCCAACTATATCCGATTTTAGCGATATATATCCGGTCTTAGCTGCAAGGGTATATCAACTTCAGCTCCGCCCAAAGTTAGCTTTCTTATTTATTATACCCTTGCAGAGGGTATTATAATTTTGTCCAAAAGTGTGCAACGCAGTGAAGGAGACATCTCCGACCCTATAAAGTATATATATTCTTGATCAGGATCACCTCCTGAGTTGATATGAGCATGTCCGTCTGTCCGTCTGTCCGTCTGTCTGTCCGTCTGCCTGTCTGTCCGTTTCTACGCGAACTAGTCTCCCAGTTTTGAAGCTATCGTCTTGAAACTTTGCACACACCCATCTTTCCTTTGCACGCAGTATATAAGTCGGAACGGCCCGGATCGGCCGACTGTATCCTATAGCTGCCATATAACTGATTGATCGGAAATGGTATAACTTTGATGTTTTTAGAGTTAGAGAGTTCAAATTTGACACGAAAGCTATTTTTGGCAAATTATTACGACATGCCAAATTTCATAAGGATCGGCCGACTATATCCTATAGCTGCCATATAACTGAACGATCGGAAATGACCTAACTTTCGTGTTTTTGAAGATAGAAAGCTAAAACTTAATACAGATTCTATTATTGGCCAGTTGATCCGACCTACCAAATTTCATTAGGATCGGTCGACTATATCCTATAGCTGGCATATAACTGAACGATCGGAAATGGTACTTGGTAGAAATATCAACTTTCGTATTTTTGAAGATAGAAGCTTGGAACTTTTTTTAAGATTTTTTATTGTAATTAATTGGTTTTATTATGATGTAATAATAAGGATCGGCCAAATATATCCGATGTTTGCGATATATATCCGGTTTTAACTGCAAGGGTATATAAACTTCGGCTCCGCCCGAAGTTAGCTTTCCTGTCTTGTTTTTTTTTTAACTTTTGCCCATTCTTCACACAACTCTCCTTGAATGGATGGTATCAGGAAACAGACTGCAAGAGAGCCTTATAACATAGTAGGCCTGCAGATTATTGAGGCAGGTGCTTCCACACGTCCAGCCGTTTAACGATTTCTCTCCCTCGAAAGGAAGCTCTGTCACCGTCGTCAATTGACAGAGCAATATGATGCCTTCATAAAGGAGTAATTGGAGTTGGGGCATATGTCTCCAGTCCCTGTTGATGTAAGCGTCACTAGACAGTACTTTCTGCTTACTTCAGGTTTTTAAGCTGGATACTACCACCTATGGAACGAAGCCTGTCTTATTTTTAGCAGTTCGGGCAATGCATCAGTCGGCAGAGGATGAGAGATTAATGTTTCCAATAGGGGCGGGAATTCTGCGTACTATGCACTTATACATGTGAGAAATAAACTGGACTTTGTTCCCCTGGAAGTCCCATATACTGGCCAACCGACCCACGAAAGCTCCCAGACCTTATCGATTTTTCGGTGACAAAAAAATACCTCGGAATCTAATAAGTGCCAAAGCAGTCTCGGACTTATTATCACACCACTCGCCTGTCCAGCCCAGAAATAACCGAACACCCCTACAGCCTTACGTCGCCAAAAACGAACTAGCTTAAATACAAAAATTACGTGAGTACCCACTTAAAACTCGCCCCGGAGCCTTACGTGAAATCGGGCATCGACTACATTACGAGCGCCCTGGAAGAAACAACAAATTAGACCGAAAAACATTTCAGCCAGAAGCTACCCCTCTGCCAACTCATAAGAGTTATAAGGGGGCTAAAACAAAAAAAAAAGGCTCGCAGTGGTGACTTCCTGATGCCAAAGAAGCTGATCGAACTTCCAAAATGCGCTATAGAGGTCATCTGTAAACTATTTAATGGAATCATTATTCTTGGCTATTTCCCAAAAAAAGTGGAAGAAATCCATCATCATAATGATACCGAAGCTTGGAAAAACCCACACACTTCCGACATCGTATAGACCAATTAGCCTTATATTTTGTTTATCTAAATTGTGTGAAAAATTCTTGTTAACTCGCATTCCATATCTGGATGCTTGCAATATTATCCCGGCACACCAATTTGGCTTCCGAAGAAACCACAGCACCGTCGCGCAAGTGAACAGATTGACATTCGAATTACGCTCAGCCTTCGAAAAGCCGATTTTTCTCGACGTATCTCAAGTTTTCGACCGAGTTTGGCTTAATGAACTCATGCACAAAATTAAAACATATTTGCCAACATACACCCACCTATTCCCAATGGGATGCAACGCAGCTACTTCGGGCGACTACATCCTTGAAGCTGGACTTTCACAAGGAAGCGTGCTTGGCCCTTGTCTATAAACATATACAAAACATTGTATACTGTGGGTATACCTACGAACTGAAAACTTACAACGGCAACGTCCGCCGACGATACCGCTATCCTAAGTCGCTCCAGATGCCGAACCCAAGCAACAAATCAACTCGCGAATCAGATCGAAAGGTGGCTGTCCGACTGGCCCACTAAAATAAACGAACAAGAGTGTAAACATGTAACGTTTACTCTTAATAGACAAACATGCCCTCCGCTTTCACTAAACGGTGTGCAGATCCCTCAAGCTAACGAAGTAACGTACCTTGGCGTCCACCTTGATAGACAACTAACCTGGTGTAAGCACATCGCTAAAACTGAAAGCCAGCACTCTCCACTGGATCATTAACTCAAATCATACAGCGCGCACAATCAAAAATTTTGAGAACTAGCATTGGGGCATCTTGGTATGTTCGCAACAAAAACATCCACCGGGACCTGGGCATCCTTGCAGTGAAAGACGAAATCCAGAAGCAAAAAGTGTCCTACAAAAAAAAACTTTCTTCGCACCCAAGTTTCCTCGCTCGGGGATTGACTCGGGTTTCCAGCGGATCCCGCCTACGACGCAACGACCTCCCAACCCAGCAATTGATTTTTAGAGCAGCCTAACTCTGTATTAGTCAATATGACTGTTAGATAAGTTAAAACTAAAAGATTTGATACACCTCTTGTTAGTGTCGCATAAAATAGATTCAAAAAATAAAAGGCACCTGGATAGGGTGCCTGAAGAGGATCGCGAGTCTTTCCTAAGGTTCGATGATGGCAGCAATTTAACAAAGACTCTGGGTCTTGCTTGGCATCCTGCAATTGATGCAAGATGTTATTTTCGTTTGAAGGGATTCAGTTAACCTCAAAGCCCACTATCGGCGCATCGTTCTTTCTTCAGTCGCTCGGCTTTTTGACCCATTACGCCTTGTCGGTCTTGTTAATGCAAAGGCGAAAATGTTTCTCCAGAAGCTGTGAGAAGTTGTCTTGGGACGAAAGTCTTCCTCAAGCTCTTTACTGCACCGGGAATAGATTTGTAGCAGCTTTGCTAGTGCGCAGCGCGCCGAATTCTTTAGATTCGGTTTTTTGCTAACATCGAAATCCGAGGTGAAGATCCATGGATTCTGTGACGCTAGCATTAAGGCGTATG